TGATCCTTCCACCCCACTCTCTCAGGTCACTGGGATTACAAACCTGAGGCACAGCAATCAACTCTATTGCTTTGATTTAGTCTTAGAGAAACACAGAAAAATTAGAATGATTTCAAATCCATTGTTCTATTTTCTCTTGAAAGGACATATTTTTCTGCACAGTGTCTTCTAAATAGTTGATAATGCAAAAGAAAAAGGAACTCATTTAAAAAACATGGGTAACTATTGCCAGTATCTGTTAATTACTGGTAAAATTGTCTTTCAATGGAGAAAACTGAAAGTAGTATAAATGATAGTAGGGGAGTTATAGGAAAACTTAACGTAGATGTGAAATGCATCTGATTGCCTCTCACTGCTATGGTGGAAATGGAGATGCAGAGAACTGTAATTAACAGTCCAGAACAAATGGAGATAGCAAACATTGCCACGTAGGCAAAAATGGTAATTACAAACTATAACTTACTCACTAGTTAATTGGAATAAGAACCTACATTTGAATCATCTTGCATGATTTAGTTCTAGTTTAATGTGTTTGCTTTGTGAAGTCTAAAACCAGGATAGTTTCAGTAGACTTCAAAACAATGTGTGCTCTCAGTATTTTTATATTAATGGTGCTTGTGACTTTGAAAATTTACAGGTTTTAGATTTATTCTGTTCATTTTATTATGCTATTTGTAATTCGTTATTTATCTAGAAGAATAAGCGTATTATGGTTTGCTATTATTCTTGAAAAATCAGGCAAAATGATGCATTTTGTTAACCCTAGATCACTTTGCAAATGTATTGCCCTTTTTTGCTAAAAGTCAGGCTCTTTCAGGAGGGAAGATGAAGATTTTGATGGAGAAAATTGTTTTTGTTAGTTTTACCAAATTAAAATTGTGTCCAAGTCCATGGGATGTACAAACGTGATATCTGAATCTTTTTTATTTTTTTTATTTTTTTATTTTTTTTTTTGAGACAGAGTCTTGCTCTGTCACCCAGGCTGGAGTACAGTGGCACGATCTTGAGTCACTGCAACCTCTGCCTCGTCAAGCAATTCTCCTGCCTCAGCCTCCTGAGTGACTGGGACTCCAGGCAAGCACCACCACACCTAGCTAAATTTTTTTGTATTTTTAGTAGAGACCAATTTCACCATGTTGGCCAGGATGGTCTTAAACTCCTGACCTCAAGTGATCTGCCCACCTCGACCTCCAAAAGTGTTGGGATTGCATGCGTGAGCCACCGCACCCGGCCCTAAATCTTTCACAGTGACTTTGAACTTGAATATTAGTATTAGAATGATTTTTTCCTATAGCCTCATTTCATATTTGGATTAATTAATAAGGAAAATATCATTCCATATAGCACAAGAACTTCAAGGAAACCAGGTGTTGTCACCTGGTTTATGAAAATAAGTGGATGTGTCTCAAGTAATATTTAAAAATTGAAAATAGACTAATTTATATTTCTATTACCTTAGTTCCCAGAAGGGATATCACATTGACTAAGATATGAAATGCTTGTCACTGATTCTCACAAACATGCATTGCTTTTAAGAAACTTAAAACATTAATGCAAGAGTTTGGCAATGTTGTAAATGTGTCCTCAGTAAGGAGGTAAATGTATATTCAGCTGAGTTAAGAGAGCATACTTCGGCCAACATGAATTATATAAGGAAAGTAATGGCTTTGTCTTAAAAGTGATGTAGGTATGATTGAGGGGATAGTTGTTATTTTGTCTACCCAGTGCAGAAGCCATATGGCCAATTTGGTCAAATCTTAAAAATAAAGTAATAGAGCACACAAGTTTTAAGCTGTTTTGTATAAATCAATGCTTGATATATTTTCAAAGTAGATGTTAAGTACCTTAGATATTTTTAACCAATATATTTAAGTGTATACTGTAGAGTATCCAGTAAGCTCTGGTAAATTACTCTTTGTTTGCTTATTTGTTTCATATTTGAAATGCACTGGTACAAAATTCAAGAATGAAGTGATATTCTGCTCTTAGGATTGGTAATGCCATCCTATGTAAAGTTACTCTGCCTTGTCAGAATTTCATCTTATGACTGACTCAATGGAAGTGTTTATTGTGTGGAAGAATAGAGAGGTTCATTTTAGTTTATAGGTGTTACCTTGCACAATTAGAGGCAAATATCTGATTTACTTAGGAACTAAATCAGTGACACTTTGGGATGATGTGTTATTGGGATGCAGACAGAAGAGTTCTGAATTGGACTGTGTTAAACATATCAGCATGTGTTAATCTACAGAAGTTTGTAACCAGCTCTACAGAGAATGAAAGACCTTCAGCCTCACTTTCAAGTAGAGAATTTTAGAATCACCCTTGGGCCCTGTTCTGTTAATGGAAATGTTCACGGATCCAGCTGTCCCTTGGCAAAATTGAAAAGTAGATAACATTTAATGCCCTTTACTTCAAAGGGAATGACTTCTTTTCCCAAGGTGCTCACTGAGTCAGTGTTGATCAGAAACACCTCAGTGTTCAGACCATTGCTGATGGCCATCTTCATCCAAATGGTCTATTTTCTCAGGCCTTTGTTTTCTATAAGTGTTGTAATTAGTAATAATGCTCATAATTATAAATAATATTTTTGAGTGCTGAGTGTTTTGGATTAGTAAAACCCTGTTAAATTCTCACTGGTTCCCAGTTCTGGAATCACTTTGAAGCTATATTCTGAGTTGTCTTGTCATAACGAATTAATAGATGTAATTTAATCATTCTATGCACTTTCCAAAAGTAAGAATTTTTGAAATGAAATTTAACTTAATATGTCTTTCATTCTCAACTGATTCCTGTTTATTTTAGCAAAATGACTTCAATAATAAGTTAAATGGGTCTGTTGTTTTTTATCAGAATGAGCCGTTTGCTTGTATTTGAAAACGTACTTATGGAAAGATCATTTGAATGAGAGATCTGAGTTTTAGACCCACATACAGTACTAGCTAGTTGTGATAACTACATTAAGTCAATTCACCTTTCTGAGCTTTAGTTTCATTATTGGGGTGAAATAAAGGGTTTTCTTTGATCATCGGTTTTCTTAAATTTACAACTAATTCTTACCTTACGACTTTAGTTGACTTAATATAGTTGTCTTTCCTCTTTAGATTTTGTTTCTTAACAACCCTTGGATACCCAGTACTTTTCCCATGAATCATCCATTCAATCATTTGATAAACACTAACTGAACACTTACTATGTTTCAAGCACTGCATGAGATGCTAAGGTCACAACAGTGGAAAAAAATAAGTGGCCCTTCTGCAGCTTGTAGTCTAGCGGGAGAAAACAAGATATTGAAAAAAATCAGACTATTTAATGTGAAATTACAAATGTGATGCATTCTGCAATTAGAAAGCAGTGTGGTCACATGATAATGAATACTGAGAAATTTTCAAAAAATAAAGGTAATTGCTAAGGAAAGTGTTAACCAGTGGTGTGTCTGATGGATGTTGATACTTCTGACAAAGAGCAAATAGGAGCAAGGTGTGCAAATAGATTAGAGATCAGGTAGGAGTCCTGTAAAGTATCTATTTTATGATACTGTCTTTTATTTGCAGAAATGTTGATTTAGTGTTTGGGACAAAATCTAACTCTCATGGGACTTATAATTTAGAGGAGCAATCTAATTAACCCAAATTTGGTTATCCATGGCTTTATGTGAGCTCTTTCAGTTACATTTAGAAGAAAAATATGGGAGGAAAATCCACAAATTCTAGGCATGGGTGCATCTCGATGTGTTTGTGTGTAGAGATTCTTTCTGGTGCTATATTAGTAGATGTATTAGTAAATGGCTACCTGTCCTTATCTCTCAAGTCTGATTCTGTTCAGCATAGGTAAGCCTTTTTCTGAACCTCAAGGAGTGCTTTAAGCAGTGGGATGCTAGGAGTTTCTTGTTCATGGGACAGTGCTAATCAGTTTAACAAATATTTGGAGAACCTGTTCAGTGTCAAGCACTGTGCTGGAAATAAAGGCTATGTAGATGATTAAGGATATATGAAGTTCATAATTTAGTAACTTCCTAATTTAATAAGCTCAAAGTCTAATGATTTAGCAACTGCCATTATGTCCTTGTATGTGGAATTTGAGAAAATACAGAAATAATTAGTCTTGGCTTTTAGAAATTATCACAGACAAACAACATGGAGTAGTTATTTATAAAATAAGATTTAATTTCAAATGGAATAATCTAGCAATGTTTACATTTCTCAAGAAAAATAGGTAGAAGTTTTAAAAGCAGGCACTATCTGTCAAAGTTTTACCACAGCTGAAATTTTTAACATTGAATTTAGCACTTTAAATTGGTGTAACTATGGGAGGTAATTCATATGTGTAATTAGCTAGACTTAGTCATTCCACAATGTATCGATACTTGGAAATATCATGTTGTACATATAATTTTCTCTGTCAATTACGATGAGCAAAGGAATAAATGAATAAGTAGATAAATGGTGTCTATAAACCCTGAGTAAACAACATATGTAAGTGAAGCAAAAGCTAGTAAGTTTTTTTGGTCCCTGGAAGTTTTGGTTGAATGGTTAAATCTCTTAAGTGGGTGAGGAAGTGCACTAAATCCAAATGCACTGAGGTTGACTTGGGTCTCCGTTCTCTGAATACTCTTCCTCTGCATTACAGCAGTAGATGGTTCTCTTATCTAATACTCTTTCTCCATGTTTTCTCCCTAACCTTCTTTTACTATCATTCCTAAATCTATTTACCCTTACTCTGTCAGAAAAAAAAAAAAAAAAACCGGCACATATACATAAGGAAAACATCTTCTTGCTCCCAGTAGAGTAGACCTGACCTGTTTTAGAGGAAACTAGTCATGACTCTGTTCTGTCAAGCTCTGACATAAGAGGTAAAGTGAGCAGAATGTTAAGTTATCATATTAAAACAACAATTTTGCATACTTTATCAGGTAAGGAGGCTTTGGTTCCTATAAGACAAACCAAAGAGACATAATTTAAGAACACACTATGAGATTCCTCTGGGAGTTGGGACAAGAGCTCTGAGTACATGAAGAAGGGGTCAGTGCTGTGGTCAAAGATCTTGGCTGTCTAGAAGAGACAGCTGTGCAACTCTATGAGTGTAGAAGAGAACTATAGGCATAGCTAATACTTGGCATTACCATAGGATCTGTCAGGATTAAGTGGAAGGCACTCTCAAAGCCTTCCAATAAAATAACCAAAACATCAGGAAGAAAATAAGTGTAAGAAAGATATTGATGAAAGGCACTCAGAGAAGGGAAAGATATTTTGCATATTATAATTTGAGTTTTAAATCATCTAGTGGAATTATCCCTTAAGAGGAAATTTTATATCATGTAATTTTATCTAATTATCTCCTTAAACATTGGGACCAAATTCACTTATCCACAGCCTCTAATGTTCATTTTAAGTGTGAAAATAGACAACAAAAAAGTAAGCATATGAGTACAAACTAAACAATTTCTCCCTAATATTTTGGTAGTACATACCACTGTGGCCCAAGTGTGGTGGCTCAGGCCTCTAATCCCAGCACTTCGGAGGCTGACGAAGGAGGATCGCTTGCAGTCAGGAGTTCAAGATCAGTGTAGGCAACATAGAGAAATCCCGTCTCTACAAAAAATTTAAAACTAAAAATTTTTAAAACAATGAAACATTAGTTGGGCATGTTGATATGTGCTTGTAGTCCAGTTACTCAGAGACTGAGGCAGGAGAATCACTTGAACCCAGGAAGTCGAGGCTGCAGTGAGCCATGATCGTGCCACCACATTCCAGCCCAGGTGACAGAATGAGAATCTGTCTCTAAAATAAAAAGAAAAGAAAACAACAACAACAACAACCAACAAACAAAAACAAAATCTTGGGCACATGGAAGATCTCTCTTTCCTTCTCATTATATTCCTGCTCAAATATTATGTTAAGGATTCAATATTTATTATTTTTATTGTTCATTCAAGTGATTTTATTGTTCTAAGATCAGATGTATCTAAGTTTATTCTTTCTTCACTTTTTCTTGACTTCATGTCAGAAATTAAATACATCTGCTTTCCTAGTAGCAGAGAGGATTTGAATGAAGATCGACATTTCTGGCTGTCCTTTCTGAATAATGTTTCCACTTGAGCGTGGCAGTTTAACAATACTTCCAATAAATGGTGCCATAGAATACTTCGCTTACTGTTTAATGCCACTGTTGTAAAATCTCCTGCAACCACCTTTCTCCATATATGGTCTTCCCTGGATCATATTTTGTATTTGTGATCACTCTGATTAAAAGTTAGTATGTAGAAAATCTTGAGCTATTCAATAAACACAGTTTAGTTACCAAAAACTTAGGTTCAGATATCAGACATTAGATTCTAGTCCCAGTTTCTACCAATGTCCAGGCTTGCTTAGAGCTTTTCACACACTGCATAAATCTTACATCGGACCTGATAGTATTATATAGGGCCTGGTTATCTTTCAAGTGATCCCCACCCTATCTCCCTAGGGGAAATCTTTGCATTTATTCTGTTGTTCTGCCTACCACAATCCCCTTTCTCTGTTTTGATTCAGCATTTCTCCCTTTACATTCGCTCACTTCATGTGGTCCTGGAGGAGCTATCATTTAAGGTGTTGCCATCCCCAAAGGGTAGGCACAGGACTCAAGCTTGGCCACTTGGATTCTCTTACTCCTCAATTTGAATCTTAAAGTAACACACAAGGATGAAAACAATTGGAGCTGCATTTTTCTTTAAAGCAATTGTCCATTGATTTATTAGGTTGATGCAAAAGTGATTACGTTTTTTGCCATTACTTTAATTGCAAAAAAAGAGGACCTAGGGAAGTTCTGAGTGCTACGTATCATATTAGGTTGGTTCAAAAGTAATTGTACCAACCTAAGAAAATATTTAGCGCTCAGAACTTCCCTGGTTCCTGTCTTTATGTGGCCATATTGTTCAGTTTTCCTGTGATTCTGAATCATGCAATATCTTTCCAACAAATCTCTTTTATTTTGCTTAATATGCAATCATATTCAAGTTTGCCTAAATTTCTGTTGTTTATAACCAAAGGATTATGGCAGTATTGGGGGCCCACTAGACTGGAATTATTTCTCATCTTTAAAATAGGTTGATTGTTTGGTGAAGGAAACAACCAGATAAATTATATTTTTGAGATCTCTGAATCTGACTTTGCAGTTAAAGTGCTTGGACTGAATCTAGATCATAATTTTGAAGTTCAGGGAGAAGGAGGTTTCTGCGGGTATCTGCTGAATACTCCTCATCTTGGGTAGGCTACACAACCTGCTGGATGGATTCCTGTAGAACATCTTCCACTATAGCTGGCATGTGTCTTGTTTAATGGGAGTGCTATGCTGACATCCAAGCTCTCTCCATCTGTGCTTCTCCATGAATCTCTGCTTTGTTTATTTCTATTGTACCAGCCATGTTTGTGCTGGCTCCTTGTCCATTTCCCAATTTAGTGAAATTTTCAGGATAGCTTACATAGTATTTGTTATTTGATAAAGGGGTTTGACCTGATGTGTTATTAACACTTTGGCAAAACTCCCTTTCTTTATTCAAGAGGGCAGAACAGAGTACTCTTTATGTGGAAGCAAATTCATCCAACTTTAGTTTCTTTTTTTTGTTAGTTTTGGCTCTTCTCAAACATCTATACAAAGGTATATATTGACCAAATATGGGCACAGATGTTCTTTTACTGTACAGCAAAACTGCTCATCGTGAATAAGAAGCTATCTGTGGGTAGGTTGTATAGGTCCATGAATTCTTTGTGATTTCATGTAGCATTTGATGTGGCATATACTTTTATAAAAAGAGTCAGATATTAAAAGATTTTCAATGTTTAATAAATAAAAACAAATTAAAACCACAAATCACCTTAAAAAATTACTTACAAACATGACTTTTCTATTAGGCTATGGAATATTTAATGTCTGAATCCATACTAGAATGAATGAATCTCTATCCAGGCCTGAAGTAGTTCCAAATTTGTTAGAATAGAAGTGAGCAGCCATATTCTGAGGGATAACATGCTGGATCTCTGTTATGCCGCCAATTTAAATACATGCCAGGGAAGTGTAAAAAAGTTTCCTGGGGCACTCAAAGTAATCCTATCCCTGGTGCAGTCCTATTAAGTGCCTTTGGAGACATTGGAGCATAGATTCTTGTGCTCAGTTTCATCAAGTGCCAGCTCCGAGGAACACAAATTGCTATCTGAACACATCTAGGTTATATACGAAAATAACATTTTTCTGTCATTAGAGAGCTGTATCTTGAGCTATTTGCTGATATAAGGAATGAGTCTATGTTTATTTGCCTACATTCTTTTGTACTAGTTCCCTAGGGTTCAGAAAATGTACAGGATTTGAAGTTAGAAGAACTAAAATCTATTTAAGCTTCACTAATTTGATAGTGCTGTGACCTTGGTTGAAACATATAAGCACTCTGAGCTTTAATTCCTTAGTCTGTGAAATGGGGATAATGATGCTATCCAAATCCCACAGTTACTCTGATCATCAAATGAAATCATGCATATGATCTATAAAATGTCTTTTTGGGCTATTACTAGCAGACGGTATATCATGCATTTTGAAATGATTAGTCAAGTCTAGAGGTGAGCATTGAATTATGAACCTAAATCCTTCTACTTCTTGAATGAACGTGCTAAATTACAACGCCAGGTTTGCTGATTATCGGATCCTGATGCTTGGCTCATAAATCAGCTGTAAGGCTATATGTATACTCCTGTTTTTCAAAGATGAGTGCATTTGAAATCCAATAATTAGAAATTTTCTTCCGAGACAGAAATGGAATTTTAGGGTAAGAAAGGTCACATTTCACTTCATTTTTAAATTTTAATCTCAATTTCTGAAGTCCCTAACTTCTAACAAATCATCATGTAGGTCATACTGTATCCTTTAAAGGAGGAGGGAAAGTGTGCATTGTTAGCCACCTTGAGTGTACCAAGCCCTGTAATAGTGCTCTCACTCCATCCTCACTCTGCCACCACCATCTCTCTCCAGTGTTTGTTCCCATAGAACCCTCTGTTTTTTCTTCTTTCAGTTGTTTCCTTTTATATATAAAACAAAAAAGAGGAAGGAAACATTTTCTTATAAATTAAAGACAAAATACCTCCCCTGTAGCCCACATATCTGTAAGAGTTCAATGAAATCCTAGGTGACAACTCTTCAAAGAAAACCCCATTGAAGAGTGTTGTTTGTGTGTTTTGTGTAAGATGCTGGTTTGTTTGTAGAATGTCCTCAGGAGAGCTGTACTGTCATCCCTGTCTTATTGTAATGGAGCTGTAGGAGCTTAACCTCTTCGAATTGCCTTGACCTTGTCTATAACAGGACATTGGCCTAAGTCAGGGCCCGCCTTTGAATCATCAAATTCTGGGCTTTTGCCTACATGTAACTAATGTGAAAACAATATATATGCACCTGGCTTATCAGCTGAGACCTCAATCAGTCCTCTAGTTCTTCAACCTCTTCTTTTTTACATCTGGCTAAAAATATAAAGGTAGGAATGTTTGTAGAGTTCTTAAAAGAGCTTTAGTTTTCTTTACAGTGTTGATGGTAAAACAGTAGCTAAACAATAGGAAATCTTGAAAGAGCTTTATTTTTCTTTACAGTGTTGATGGTAAAATAGTTAAACAATAGAAAATCTTGAAAGAGCTTTACTTTTCTTTATAGTGTTGATGGTGAAATAGTAGTGAAGCAATAGAAAATCAGTCATTTAAAAATGCTTGAGAATTTTAAACAAATAATTCAGAATTTAGAATTGGTATTTCACAGTCCATGTTTGCCAAAAATATTACTGGGTGCATCCACTGTTGTTTGAGTACCAAACGAAAGAACAAAAGTAAGATAGAAAGATTCCAGATTCTTTCTTTAGCAAAGCTTAATTCTTGGGATAATGACTGCTTTCTTATTAAGTAGAGCCCTGTTAGGATAAGAAAGACGTGCCTCTAATTATTTCAGGGCTTCATAACACAAAACGTGGAAATTGCCTTAGCTCTTCCATTCTTATTTTGCTCCCTAGATTTTAAAAGTGCAAAGAATCTGATTAACTGGCACAGACTTCTTGACACACCAAGTATATGGAAAGAATTCAGAATAGGGTGACAAAGATGTGTCAGGTCTTTTTCTATTCACAAAGCAGTTGGCTAAATGAGCTATCCAAAGAAAACACGTGTATGGGAATTTGTGCTTGTATACTTGCTTGTAATTCTTCCTTGTGTGTATAACTCAACAGTCTGAGCTTGCTGTAAAATTATTTCATATTTGGTTGGCTTGCTTTGTATCATGAGTACAGTGTTTCAGAGAAGGAAAGTCCTTAGTTGCAGTTAAAGATTTTGTAAGTATCAATCCCTAGGACACGATTGAACTTTTATACTAGGTTTGTTAAGGAGGTCATCCTTCTGCAGGTCATGAGTGACCTGGTTGAGAGAAAAGCGCTGACTCAGTACAAATCCACTTTCCACCCCAGTACTCCCCACACAGTGAAGATGACTGGAATAGCCAAACTGATGTCGGATGGAGCACCTTGAAAGAGGAAGGCTAGAGCTCTTTCAGTTACACCATCAAACATGTTCTCCTTGACCATTACATGATTTTGACAGTTTCCATGTCTGTAGCTTACAGTCCGTTCTGCTTTTCTAATAATGAACTCTTCTTTCTGTTTTAGGAAATACAAAAGTAAGCAGTTAAACGTGTAATTTTTTTAAACTTAAATAACTCCATGTCTAAAACAAGGAATGGTGAATATACTATTGTGAGACAGCAATTTAATAATTAAGTATATGGGCTGTGGAGTCTGATAACCCAGATTCAAGTCCTAGCTTTGTCATTTACTGTGTGACCTTATGTTACCCCATCTATAAAATGCAGATGACTTATATGTACCCCATAGAGCTAGAACAAGGATTAAATGAGATAGTACATGTAAAGCATTTAAACAGGATCTGGTAAAGTGTTAATGCTCAAGAAAACAGTTATTGATATTGTTAGTATAAATGCATCACAAGAAGCACAATTGCCACACAATATACCTATTTATCATTAGGTTTTACTTTGTATGTGAAAGAATATGCACATGGTCTGCCTTAGTAATTAGGGAGTTTCATGATAATATTTTAAAAAATAACTACGGTTACTTAAGCTGGAAAGAACCCTGGGCAAGGGTGTGGCTATGCCATGCATTAATGACAAACTATCAAGGAATATGTGCAGCATTCTATTAATTTTAATGGCATAGATATATAAAATTAGCACATTGCCTTGAAATATTTTTTAAAGCAGTCACTTTTATCTTGTGAGAATGACTTTTTAAAAAAAGTCTTAAATCTTTTGCCATAGCCAAATAATCTGATCACTCTTGTGGATTTGGCCAACACACATAAATTTTTCTCATAATAGATCTTTCTCAAATGGCAGAAAACTGTCTCAGTACTACCATACTGCTATTAATTTAGCTCTCTTCATTCCCATCCAGTTCTGTTCTGTTCATTCAATGTGATTGAAAAGCATTGACATTTGTTCTTACAGATCTCTTTACCCAAACTGAGCAAATTAGAAGGCATTTAATCTACCTTGTATAAAAGTGGAAGCAATAGAAGGGGAAAATGAGTTATTTTTAAATCCCATTTTATTATTACATTATTCTAATGGTATTGCTATTAGCTATATTGATCACAGCTGACTTCATGGCTGTGTGTTGACCACAAAATATAATCTAAAGGGCATTTCAGGTTCCAAATGACTTTCTAGAATATCTGAGTTAAAATTGTTAATGCTACATGACAACTGCTATTATTTCAGTGTCAGCCAGATATAAAAGAACATTAATATTCATTAGTAATGTTACAGCTGGTGACTCCTTAACGACATTGTAATGATTTGAATAGTTATTTCAAACAATGTGTTGGACTATACACACAATAAGCCCTGATTGACACAATGCATTAAAAAGCAACCCAGTAATGTCAAGGAAAACCATTAATATGTATGCCTGTATATTAGGCTAAGTAAATAAATGCTTTAGAAATATACTTCAGCTGGTAAGACCTACCACTATGCAAGGAATGACTAATTTTTGAATGTGTTACTTGGGGGAATCATCATGATAAACATCTGAAACACAAATTCAAGTCCCAATTTTATCACTTAAGTTCAATGTCACTGTTGTCATTTCTACAAGTTAAACTTTGTGTCATAAATATATCTGTAGAGGTACTTGTAAGGATAAAAACAGGACAAATTTAATGAAAGGGGGTTGGTAGCGGAGGTTATAAAATAGCACTAATATCTCTTTTCTTTTTTATTTTTTCATTTAGATGTAGAGATGGGGGTCTCACTCTGTTGAGCAAGCTGGTCTCAAACTTTGGGAATTAAACAGTCCTCCTCCCTCAGCCTCCCAAAGGGCTGGATTACAGGCAGGAGCCAATATGCCTAGCCAACAATAATATCTTCTGAGTATCTAATACGGACCACACACAATGTTGGGGTTTTATATATGCTGTATCATCTCATTAGGGAAGTGGCTTCATCACCATTTTATAGATGTGTAAACCAAAGGCAAAACAGGTACACATGACTGAACAATGTGAAATTCTAGTGTTAGGATTAAAGCCCAAGTGTGGATATCCTTTGAAATATAATAAGATGCTTCTGGAGTTTGTTCAAGATGATGCACTGTGGTGAGTGTTATTGGGGTTGAAGTTGGGTGGGAGACCTAGAAGCTGCTTTTAAGGAGTTTCTTGTTTCACTGAGATGATAAGACTGAGATGTAGGAAGCACTTAATATGGAAGTCTATAGATCAATTGACGGCATAATAAGAGCATTTATTCTTTGTGTTCTGAAAATGTTAAGTTATACCAACCTCTCTTTCCTTTCACCGCTTTTTTTGTAAACGTGGTTCGTAAGGAAGAAAAATTGACCTTTCCTCATTCTATTTTTTTAGGAATTTACCAATAATATTATTTTAATTTTTATTGGAAAATAAATTTCGTATATATTTAGTTGTACAACATAATGTTTGTGTATGTATATGCACAGTGAAATGATTCATTTGAACTAATTACATGTGTTATTACTTCATATTTCTACCTTTTCTTTGGTGATGACAACATTTAAAATCTACTCTCTTAGAGAATTTCAAAATACAATGCATTACAGATATTGTGGATTTGGTTCCAGACCATTGCAATGAAGCAAGTCATATGAAATGTTGTTTTTTCAGCACATACGAAAGTTATGTTTATACTTACCAAAAGTATTATAGGTTCCCAACTTTTAAAGTACAATTTTCTTGACTTTCTATACAGGTCTACAATTTTAATTTTTTTCTTCAAGAAATGATCTGAATTATCAAATTTTGAGAATATTATACATTTTAAAATAAAACTAATTTTGTATTTCCTATATGATTAGATAATTCACTAGTAAATAATCATTGCATATGTGTATACACTAGAATACCAATGAAAAAATAAGTTAAATATTTTACTCCTTTCCCTGCATTGTACTTTTTTGTTTTGTTTTGTTTTTGAGACAAAGTCTCACTCTGTCACCCAGGTTGGAGTGCAGTGGTGCGATCTCGGCTCACTGCAACCTCCACCTCCTGGGTTCAAGCAATTCTCCTGCCTCAGCCTCCCAAGTAGCTGGGACTACAGGTGCCCACCACCATGCCAGCTAATTTTTAAAATATTTTTAGTAGAGATGGGGTTTCACCATGTTGGCCAGGCTGGTCTCAAACTTTTGGCTTTGTGATTCGCCTGCCTCAGCCTCCCAAAGTGCTGGGATTACAGGCATGAGCCACCACGCCTGGCCTGTATTGTACTATTTGTAACAGAAATTTTTAAGTGTTTCGTTACCTAGTTTAAAAATGAGCTGAAATATACTATTTAGTATACAATAATGCAATCTTTGGACACAAGATGTTGCTAGACTCCTATAACACTTATGACACTCACTCTTCTTGGATAAAATAAGGCTTGTTGCGGGGGATCAGACCTGAACGCATCATCAAATGTAAACCAAGATTCAGGAAATTTATGAAACACCCAACTGATTTTACTGATCAAAAACACAACTTAAAGGAAAGACTGACACATTAGACTATGTTAAAATGAAGAACTTCTATTATGAGAAGTCACAATTAAAATAATGAAAGTACAACCCACGGATTGGGAGGAGCTATTTGAGTGACTTACTTCTCACAAAGGATCGTATACAGAATATTTAATGAAACCCTGCAAGTTGGTATAAGAAAGTGATAATCTGATATAAATGAACAATAAACTTGAATAAATACTCATACAAAAAGAATATCCAGGTGGTCAGTTACCATATGAAATATGAGTTAACCTTACTAGTCATAGTGGAAATGTATCTTAAACTTATGAGATATCAGTAACACTACAATGGTTAAAATGAGAAAGACTGGCTCTACCAACTGCTGGTGGGGATATAGAGCCACTGGAGCTCATATCCATTGCTTGGGGGAATGTAAATTGTTACTCTCTCTTTTATAAACCATTTGGCAGTATCTGTTAAAACTGAACACGTACCAACAGAAATGCATGTAGGTAGCAACAATCATAGTCAAGAATATTCAAAACATCTCTGTTTATAATAGTCATAAAGTAGAAACAATTCAAATCAATGATGGTTGAATATATAAATTAACTGTGGTGTATTCATACACTAAAATACTGTACAGCAATGAAAATAAGCAAATTGTTATGCATGACAACTCAAATGAACTAAAAAATATGATATTGAGCAAAACTGTCATAAAATAGTATATGTCATGTGATTCCAGTTATATAAAGTACCAGCATAGACAAAACTATAATCCAGTAGTCAGAATAGGAGTTATTTTCTTTGGGAAAGAGGGTGGTGGTAGGACTGTGAGGGGACACAGAGAGTACTCATATTCTAATTAATTTTTGTTTCTTTGGGTTGTGGTGATACTAGTGTGTTCACTTTCTGAAAATTTCTCGAGCTTTATACTTAAATGTGTATGCTTTGTGTGAATGACCTGCTTTTAAAAAGTCTTTATTAAAAAAACAATTGATCACAAAAAGAATAAAAATAATAAAAGTAAGGAAGTAAGATATTGATTAGCCTCCTGGTAGCTCAAAGAAAGGCAGGGAGTTTATTCCAAACTTAAAGACAAAGCATGGTAAATATGCTTCTGAAAAGTCATGATGTGGCTTCCAAAGACTTGAAATCAGTCTGAATCTGTAGAATATCAAATTATGTGGCAAGGTGGCAAGTGCTGATGCCACAGGACGTGAGGCATGTACTGAAGTCAATAAAGAGAAGGGTGACCTGCTTTAACAGATTTTAAGTCTAGATGAATCTGGACTGTTGCAGGAAGGGATGACCAAGAGTTGAAAAAAGGAGATGAGTGTTTCCAGGTTTTCGGTCTTCAGGAGACTGACTCAAACTTTCATTGCTAGGAATTTATCCAAAGACTTAAGTCTAGGCACTGCAGACTTTTACATAAATCTGAGTTTCTCAGCCTCAACACTATGAACATTTGGGGCCAGATAATTCTTTGCTGTGAGAGGCTATCCTGTGCAATGTGGGATGTTTAGCAGCATCCCTGACCTCTACCTAGCAGGTGTCAGTAGTATCCTTCCCCCAGTTGTGACAAGTAAAGTTGTCTCTAGATATTGGCAAATGCTTCCTGGGGAGTAAAACTGACACCCTGTCTCCCATGAGAATGGCTGGAATAAGTCAATTTATATAATTGACCCAGCCATCTCATTACTGGGTATATACCCAAAGGATTATAAATCATGCTGCTATAAAGACACATGCACACGTATGTTTATTGTGGCACTATCGACAATAGCAAAGACTTGGAACCAACCCAAATGTCCATCAATGACAGACTGGATTAAGAAAATGTGGCACATATACACCATGGAATACTATGCAGCCATAAAAAAGGATGAGTTTGTGTCCTTTGTAGGGACATGGATGCAGCTGGAAACCATCATTCTCAGCAAACTATTGCAAGAACAGAAAACCAAACACTGCATGTTCTCACTCATAGGTGGGAATTGAACAATGAGATCACTTGGACACAGGAAGGGGAACATCACACCCCGGGGCTTGTTGTGTGGTGGGGGGAGAGCGGATGGATAACACTAGGAGATATACCTAATGTAAAAGACAAGTTAATGGGTGCAGCACACCAACATGGCACATGTATACATATGTAACAAACCTGCATGTTGTGCACATGTACCCTAGAACTTAAAGTATAATAAAAAAATATTTAAAAAGTAAAATAAATAATTTTATGTTTGTACTAAAAAAAAATATATATATATATAATAAAGTCATATAAAGTATTTAGGTTACATTAGCAACCAAGAAAGATAAAATAAGGAATCAGCAGTTTTATTTTGTTCACAAGTCATTGAGAGACAATACCATTTATAGTATTAATATCCTTACTTAATACTAATACACCTAAATTATTCTCAAATTTTAGGTGGATCATTTTTATCAATAAAGAACAAGAATGATCAGCATAAATGGGCACAAGTCTGACAACAAGTTGCAGCATGGATAGTGTGGTATATCCAAATAATGTAATTCATGGTTGTTTCTAGTAGGAAAATGAGAATGAGACACTGGTGAAATCTCAGTATTATTCAACCTGAAAATTTTTTTGCTCATTTGTATGATATTAGCAGCTACAATAAAATTCCTATTTATCTGCTTGTTTCAAAATGACTTGACCTGTCATTCCAAGCATGTTGCTAAATTGTCCTTATCTTTCTCCTCTGTTAAATTTTAATATTGTCAGTTTTCATCACAGTTTTTTGCTTAGCCTAATTCTTCACACATAATGAATACCCAATCAAGTTCCAATTGATGCAGGATATTTTCTTGATTCCTTTGTGAAACTCACAACAGCCGTCCCCTGTTTACTCAGCCTGGCCCACTCAACCCCTTGCAGGAGGGAGCACACGGGCAAACAAGGGCAGGAACCAGCCGATCACTTTGGTGCCTGCAGGAGCAAACTCCCTGTGGGCCCTGCAGCCGTGTCCAGGTGGGATGCTAAGGCCCCAGAGGATGTGTTAAAATGCTCTCTTAGCTCCACTGTCCACAGACAGCATTGTGTATCAGCTCAGTGGGCCTTTTGCCTTGTCATGTGGGGCAACTGCCTTCTGCCAGTGAGGGCAAAGGGCCAGTGTGAAGTCTTTTTGGGTACCCGCACTTGGCGCAACCTGAAATCTTGTCTGATGGTCAAGAGGAATGGGGTCATGTGAACGAATTGAAGGATGGTGAATGCAGAGAATTTTATTGATCCATGAAAGTGACTCTCAGGGGAAAGGGGAGCTGGAATGGGGATGGGAAGGGAAGGTCACTCTCCCCTGAACTCTAGTCACCTCTCTGCCTTTCTCTTCTGAAGCCAGGTTGCCTCTTTCCAATGTCTAGCTGCTGTCTCTGAAGTCAAGTCACCGCTCCTCAATGTCCACCCATTTCTCCTCTCTACTGAAGCTTGTGGTCTTTATAGGTACAGGATGGGAGGTGGGGTGGGCTATAGATTGTTTTGGAAAAGAAAACATTCAATTGGAAGAAAAAAAAATCAAAAAGAACCAATAGGGAGAGAGCAGGCACACAGGGATAGAAGTTCCCACTCTGGGCCATGGGTTTCAGGTTTTCTGGCTTGAAGGTAGGGTTTTGCCAGGGAACCACTGCTTTCTGCCTAGAATTTCTCTGCCTTCTGTCTCTATCACAATGACACTGAATTATGGAAGGATATATAAGGAAAAAGACATAAAGGAATGAATACCTGGTGGGTACAGACTAGGTCTTGGGACTGAAACACTTTCTAGCTGCCAATTTTGTCAAGTCAGTGAAGACCTGTGTTGACTATGTTGATGTGATAATATTTTCAACAAATGATTTTCGACTCTCCATTATGAGATTAGTGCCCTTCAAAGCACTAGAAATATAGGATGGATAAAACAAGAGGTTCGTGCATTTGTTGAGCTTATATTTTAGTGGGAGAGATAGCCAATAAACAAATACACAAAAATAAGTTATGAGCTGAGAAAAGAACCATAGGAAGAACTATTAAAGAAAATCAAGGAACCTATTGTATAGAAAGGAGAATCACAAAAATTCTGTCTGAGGAGAGGTAGTATAAATTGTAAGGTAGAAAAAAATATTGTTTTTTCTCTACCCTCCTAGGTTCTACCGCTAAGGGCCTATAAATTAGACTGACAAATGACAGATTAAGAAGAGAAAAGCATACAAAAGAATGTAAGTTTTACACAACACAGGAGCCTTTCTAAGGAAATGAAGATCTGAAGAAACAGTTACAACTGAATGTTTTTACACGAGGTTTAATAAAGAGTGGAAAGTTGAGAAATGTGGTAGGACAAATGGGTTTGAACTAAGAGCAGTAAAGTGGGAAAAATTTAGCTAGACCTATTTGTTCAGATACCTCTCAGTGGCCTTCCGCCTTCAGAGACAAACGTTTCCCCTTCTTCTGGGTAGGGTGAAGGAACCTCTCGAGTAGTAGCAGTGGAGATAGAGAATAAACATTAAGGAATGTGTACATGAGGGAGTGTCAACACTTGCTGATGGCCTGGATCTGGGGATTGAGGGATAGCAGGCACCAAGGATGACTTCTAGGGTTTAGCTTTGTCTGATAGTGGTGCCATTCCCCAGGATTGACAAGACAGACAGGATCAGAAAGGCATTGAAATTTTCCACCTTCTTCTGTCTTCTTGAACATGCAAATCAGTTATTTAAAGTCTGTGTCTTATGAGTCTACCATTTGACCCACTTATAGGTCTGTTTCTATAATTTATTTATTTTTTTTTCACTTGGGCTTGTTTCCTGGCATGCCTAGTAATATTTTATTAGATTTTGACTAATGTATATGGGAACACTAAAAATGTTCTGGTGAATGTTTTCTTCCTCCCTCAGAGAGGGTCTTCAGTTTCATCCGGAAGACTGTTAGAGAAAGAACAGGTCAGTCTAACCCAGCCAGGGACTGAGCTGACTCAAGCCTGGGTTTCCATTTTCATAAGTTCTGATCCATTTCTGTTTCACCTTTATTCTTATGGTGCAGCCCTTAAGGAACCTCTGGGTAAAGTCTGGCATGTGTGCAAGACTTCCTACTTAGTAGGACCTGGAATCCAGACTAGAGTACAGTGGTGCTATCTTGGCTCACTGCAACTCTGCCTCCCGAGTTCAAGCAATTCTCCTGTCTCAGCCTCCCGAGTAACTGGGATTACAGGTGTGCACCACCACACCCAGCTAATTTTTGTATTTTTAGCAGAGATGTGGTTTCACCATGTAGGCCAGGCTGGTCTCAAAGTCCTGGCCTTAGGTGATCCACCCACTGCAGCCTCCTAAAATGCTAGGATTACAGGTGTGAGCCACTGTGCCCTGCATGGATTCTAATTTCTGTCTTCTTGAAATTGTGAGATGGCCTAAGGTTCTTCTAATTTCTTAACCTTTAGCCCCAATTTTCTGCTGCTTGTTCAATTTAGGATTATCAAACCACACAACGTCAGGCTCACTTATCTCTGCTTTCCTTCTCTTCTGGGTCTAGAGTCTTCAACATGTGACTCTTTTGTAGTATTGACATCCTGTTAGCATAGTCTGACTTGTCTCTGAAATAGTTTGCCCCATTATCTTCAATATAAAAGATGCATTGGAGAGGTAGCATATAGAAGCTGAGAAGCCAGGAAAACGGATCCTTTAAATTGCCACATTCCAGTAGGAGATAATGAGGACCTGAAGTAGGGCAATGAGCTTAAAATGCAGAAGAGGAAATAGAAGCAAGAAATACTTAGGGGGTGGATTTGAAATGATGGCAAATGGAAAATTTAGCTGTCAGTATCTCTTAAATATTATTTCTGTGTCAAAATAAGAATGACATATTGGCTTATTAATTCTGTGTTCCCCATAATTTTAAAGGCTGGTCAAGGATGACTGGTTGCCAAACAATATAATCTACTCTTTGAAATTTCTCATGGTTCTGCTATTATTCTTAGCTATGAGGATGTGAAGGGGAAATGTATTTTAACCTGCCTTCATTGTTCAAAATAAGAACTTACTTAAGTTAGCCTTTATATGAGTGATCGCTTTGAAGGAAGCCATGTGCTCTGTAATTCAGAAAGCATCGAAAATATTTAAAACCAAACTTCCATTATTATTTAGATAACAATATTTTAGGGAAGAAGTTTGAATCATTCAACCTGAAGAAACACTGAGCTGAGTTGGTAATATACATCATTTAACAATGCATTTGATATGTGGCATTTTTTCTAAATAAATAGTATTATAAGAGGTAGACGAGTGATCATTTTTAGTGCCTGCTATAGAACCAGGAACCCAATGGTGACTGCTTAAGTACATTGTCATTCAACCTTTTTAACAACCTTATAAGTAAGGTAGATATTTCCCATATTTTATAGAGCCAAGTCTCAAAATGTTGGGATAACTTGCCTGAAATCATGCAATTAGTAAGTGGCAGAACCAGGACTGAAAACTGATTCCGATTTGTTCTATTCTGTCTTCTCCCATTACGGTACAACAAATCTAAGAACTTTCTTACATTTTGAGAAATGCTTGGAAAAAAACATGAGGGGGAAAAATCTGGGTCAGAATTTTAGATTTATTTAAAGAAAACTTTTCATTACTCAATAAAGTAAAAATAATCTCAACTAAATTCTCCAAGTCAAGTAGTATTTTTACTCATGAGAGTAGAGTGCTGCTCATTCTCTTATTAACTTGAATCCTGAGGCATCTCATTATATATTTTCTAAATTCTTAACTATGATCTCATCCCCTGAAAGTTTGATATACCTGTTGTCATCATTTATATAAGAACAGCAAAACCAGCTATTCAAAAATAACTCAATCACCTTTCTTTTATTTATTTATATTTTTCCTGAGCTGGGAAGTTCTACCTCATGCAACAGCTAAATTAGCAGAAATCTGACCCAGATGATATAATGACTAGATGAGTTCACAGCTGGCTGTAATCTTATCTCAGAAAGAAACAGGAAATTTACCAGTTACTGTATTTTACCCTGTTCTGGGCACTTAGTATTTAACTATCTCATTTAATTTTTACAACAAACCTATAAGGTACATGCTATATTTATAGATGATTTAGCTAATATCCAGAGAAGTCAAATGATTTGTCTAATACATTAACAAATCCTGGTAAAGGGTATTTCATTCTCAAACTGATGATAAAATATTTTGAGTCTAAAGAACTCCAATATCTTGGTTAACATAGATTTAGGTAAGTCACTAGTGAGACACTGTACTGAATTTTTAATACAACATTATTTATATAATATATACAAATTAAATGTTATATTGTGTATATACATATATGTATATACATATAGAGTTATATATATGCATATATGTGAGATATATAATAAATAATTGACTTGCAATACATATTACATATTTTATATATTATATATTAAATTATATAGGATAATTGAATATAAAACAGAATGGAGGCTCTAGATTATATAAAGTGTAAATTAATCTCTAAATGTCATCAACACGGGAGAAACAATCACTGCACCAGTCTGTAAATTGCATGAGGAACGCAGGGGCAGTCTGTGCTGTATACAGTTATCATCAGTGTCTAGCAGAGTACCTGACACATAAATGCATAATAAACATTTTTAGATAAACAAATAATTGATATGATTAAAACCCAAGCAAAACTCCCAGATTATCTAGAAATTCACAATGACAGCTAAAGGAAACCTGTTAACCAAAGAAAAGTAAGTTGGAAATAAATTAAATAATATAGATGATATTCTACAATCCTAAGAATGATTTTTGCATACTGACCTCATGTTCTTCATATTCATGAAATATCCAGCAAAAAGAATTAGCTGGAATTGTAGAATGAACGATTTATGTCATGCATGGAAGAATTTTCTGTCCATTGAAAGTGGTTAGTGTTTGGATGTATTACTTATGAAAAGCATGCAGCCTTCCGTAGACATATGTAAAATTAGGAGAAGATATTTCAACTTTGGCTAGTTTAAGGAGGTTTTAATCAGAAGCTCAATGTGTATAAGGAAGGACCATACTTGGTTTGCTGATTATTAAAACTACAGTGCCACCTGGGCATCGTGGCTCATGCCTGTAATCCCAGCACTTGGGGAGGCCAAGATGTGTGGATCACCTGAGGTCAGGGGTTCAAGACCAGCCTGGCCAACATGGGAAAACCCCGTCTCTACTAAAAATACAAAAATTAGCCGGTAATTTTGTACAAAAATACAAAAATTAGCCAGCTACTTGAGGAGGCCGAGGCAGGAGAATCGCTTGAACCCAGGAGGCGGAGGTTTCAGTGAGCCAAGATTGTGCCACTCCGGTCTCCAGTCTAGGTGACAGAAAGAGACTCTGTCACAAAAAAAAAAAAAAAAAAAAGACAATAAACAAAACAAAAAACTGCAGTGCCTAGAATATTGTCCGACACATAGTAGTTACTTACTATATGGTAATTAAGTAATTGAAAATAAACTAAGAGAATAAATGTTCCCAAAAATGCCTTTAAACCCTATGATTTATATGAAAGGTGAAGTCTGTTAATTTTTTTGTACATTGGATTTTGACTAAACTGTTGGGCCACATGAGTTGTATTCAAAATTAATTGCTGAAAACACGTAGGATTAAGCACTGAGTCTACTCTCTACTGGCCCAAAATATACTTTAAAACAATACAGAATTGTAGCCAAGAACAAAGAACACTTCTGAACTAAGCTTTACCCTTTACTCAGCTGATTTAGTTCACTTCTCTATGCCTTTAATTTTTTTCCATGAGAATTCTAATTTTACAAATAGCTTTAGCATCTGTAAAGTGGCAAAGATCAATTAGAGAGATCTATAAAATACTTTGAGCTTCTTGAAGAGAATTGTATATAAATAGAACTTGGCAAGTAATTAGTCATTTCAGTACTATAAATGAAAGTCATGTGAATAATTTTTTTAAGTTGCTCTTTTTATACTCCTCTGCATTTGACATAAGACTGTGAAATCCTTTAGGGCACTTTAATATGCAAAATACCACAACTTCTTTTTGCTTTGTAATCATTTAATTAATATACTTCTAATACAGCATGGGAGGCAGAAAAATCAGGTTATAGCCAACAAATTGAGCCTTAAGAGAAAAGAATTTTCAGTCGCTTTTTGGATTATTATTTTCAGATATTCCTAGTTGGATCCACTGATTTTAAAAAGAGCAAATTCATGGTTGTATTTGTTAATTCTGTAGGTCTAGTGCAATGAGTAATTCTGGGAAATTTTTTAAATTTCACATTAGTATATAACCATTCAGCTTTGGGAAATGTTAATATGACATTGAAGATCATGTAGAATATGATCATGTTTCATGTTTGACACATTTTCCCAAATTGGGAGTATTTCCTTTTCCTTTTTTTTTCCCAACAAAACTTTACAACCATCACATAGGTATTGAGATGGACCAATTGTAAAATAGCAGGGATAATTTAACTCTGATTTTGAATAGTTTAGAGGGCTGTGATTGAAGACGTTGCTTGGTAAGAAATTGATTTTCCACCTTCATTGTGGGAATTAGACTAAGAAGAAAGCAGTCTGGTAAGATAAGAATAACTCAGTCTGATTCTTCCAAATATTTATTAATAATTTTGTGTGGCCTTTGCTACCATCTTTAACATTTTCATCATGTTCAAATACTTCCTTCTTAAATGACATTTTGGGGACAGTGAGGGGTGTATGTGAATGAGGGTGTGTAGAAATCAGGTGAAAATAATAAAAATGTGTTTATTGTGAATCAGTTTAAGTTTGAGATTTCACTTTAATTGATTGCAATCATTCCCTTTAGCCTCATGTCCAAACAAAATATTGGTACAATGAAGAATCTACCTGGTTTTTTTCTTTATGTCAGTGTCAATCATAGGCAATTCTGAAATGTGTTGTTGCTAAGATGATACATTCTCACT